GGAATACTTCAGCATGTTTTGACTCAGAGTAGACACTATGTAATTACCTGAGTAAGAATAAAAAGTATTCTGTATGAAAATAATAAAATAAGTAGTGAAGATATCAGAATATGGTAAATAATATTTTTTACCACATCTTTTTGCTCTGAATGGCACATTAGGCTCAGTAGATTAAAAAAAAATTAATAACATTAGAACAACAAAGCTTTTATACAGTGAAGTTTAAAACTTGTGTCTGGTGCGTTTTTGGTTAAAACATATTTGTTTATGAATATAAGAAGTTTTATTTGAGTAAAAATGGAAATTTTATTCAATGAAGAGAAGTGATACTTCATAATAATATTACTGAAGCAAAAGTAAAACATATGGTGTCATAAAGCTTCTCCTAAAACAATTTATTTTCCAAAATGTTACTCAAGTAAAGGTTACTGAGTAGCTACCCACCTCTCCCGACACAATAGGTGGTTTTATTCTCACTGTAAAGGAAGTTTTAATTATCATTTTGAAAAATAAATGTTTTTTTTTTTTTTTTGTCCAGCATAAAAAAGCTTTTTGCTTCCCCATGACATAGGCAGCTGTAGTGCAAAGGATCATGTTGTATTGTTGCTAGTGGGCAAATGCGTCTTGAACAAATTCTTCTTCTGTGCAGTGTACCAGCAATAATATTGTGATTTAGGCAGTCTACTTTCACTTTGTTTAAAGATGCAGGGGCTACACATGCTACTCTTGAAATATTAATAACTGAAGATAGATTACATCCACATTAACAATATCCAAAAGACACAAACCAGCATTGCTTTTAGCTTTCTCTGACTGATTAACAGATATAGGATGTACTAAACACGTTTTGTTTTCAACAAGCTTAACGGGCATCTACAGATAATTAGGTCTGTGTACGTTTGCAGCATCATCAGAAAGTAGGCATTGTCTGAACATTATGCAACCAGATGATATCTTCAAATCTTCAAATATTCTTCAAATCTTTCATTGTAAACATTTGAAGAAAAAAAAGGGTTAAATATTATAATTGACTACTGATAATATTCTGCAGTGCACCCCTTGAACATCCACTTGCAATAAATTATTAATTACTGGGATGATTTTCAAATGAGCCAGGCAACATGTAACATGCAATGTGTGCATGTTAATCAGGGAAGCCTTACAACACACTAAAAAATATGCTAGAGTTCAATGTTACCTCTTGTTAAATGCAATAAATACCTGATTAGATGCATAAATTGAGCTCTAAAGAAATCCACCTAAATCAAGTTAAGATAAGAAGGATAATATAAGATAAGACCGTATTAGTTCCAGAGGGAAATTCCTGTCATCTCCACTACATAAACTGACGCCAAATGAGAGTTTTGTGGTGGGAGGATGATCAACATTTATTAAAGGTTATATTTTCACTGCATTTGATTTAAATCATTCCCAGGTAAATATTCTATTAACTTTTAGCAGGAGTGATTTAATTTTGGTGCAAACAACATCCCTCATTTTGAATGTCATCAGGTTTTTGAATGACTCAAATATTCAAATAATATTCACTACGGTTATTTGGCAATTAATTCATTTAATTAACTTTTATCTATTAAATTAAGCAGGCTTTTGCTTTCAGTTTTTGTGGAGGTGGAGAGAGTAAATAGTCTTCTTAAACCAATGGTGTAGCAAAAGATCTTCTGCTTGCCTTTAAAGTAAAGAAATACTAAAGTCTTCTACTAAATCCAAAGTTTATTACAGTTATAGTTCAAGTGGGCTTTCAGTGGTTTGCAGAAAGGCATAAACTGTAATCACTGAGACAGAATTATTGGTACTTGGAGTTTATTGCTAAAAATCGGGGCCAATGAGAACGTTTTGGGAAAACGATGCCTTTCAGAGGACAAATGTTAGGGCTGCATTGTCCAAACCCACTTTTAGTTGTAATGTTCTTACCTGGGTAACACAGGTCCAGTATCAACCTTGCTCCTGGGCACTGAATGCTTATAAATGCAAATTGCTTCAGACCAAAAATGTACTCTTGAGATTTTTCCCATAAAAAAAATCTAATTACTTCACATAAAAATAATGAAGTTAACGTCCACTCGCTCGACTGATATTTTAAGATTTATCTGCTATCAGCTTCTGTTCTCGTCAAGGTTCAGCTCAGAGAGACCCTGGAACGGCTTAAATGATATTTAAGTTTATATGATAGAAGAATATTGTTGTTCCAGTGACATCTGAACATGGGTGACCGGTGCAGCTCTGCAACCTTGACCCTCTGAAATCTCTCCATGCTCCCATCTATTGCTCATTGCTACTTGGACTGGAAAAGTGATAAATGTGGAAATCACTTCTAATATTTCTTCAAGGAGCATTTTCTTGCAACTTTAACTGAATATAAATTCTTCCTTACACACACACACACACATACACACACGCAGACAGACAGACAGACAGACAGGGCTTTTCTTTGACTTCCTTTCTTCTTTTTTTTTTGTTCATTTCTGTTGCCTAACCCTAACTCTAACTTAAACTCAATTTATACCTTAGTCCTAAGCCTAACCTCTGACCCAAAAAGAGCCCTTCTCCTTGTGGGGCCCAAATCCAGGAGTATTTGTCAGAACATTGGGCCTTACAGAGTGAGAAATGTTTGCATTTTAACCCATATTAGGACATTGTAATGACTCATTCTTTGCATTTATGTCTACCTCTATAAACGGGGTTCACCGGATTAGGACCAGGCTTCAGAAGGTTAGTAAATACATCGGAAAAAGTCCTGGGCTCCATAAATGAGTACACACTCACAGCATGCAAAAGTGACCTTCAAATCTCCGCAAACACCTCCGGTGGTTATTAGAGGCGCATGCACTCTCTTTGAACTCACTGTCACACACTCCTCATATATCTTACATCGCGCACATGTGACCCGGAGACAGATTATTGGATTAGTCCATTAACAGCCTGTTCATCCACGGACCATGACCTTTTTTCTGCCTCCTTCCTCGGCTTGACTTATATTTGCGTCTTTGCTCCCCACGCTTTAGTTTTTTTTTTTTTTTTTCTGTTTTTCTTTGTACAATTCTTTTATATCTCAGATTATTTGTGTTCATGATTCTTTTGTTGTCATTGTTGTTTTCCCACTTTAGGAGATGTGAATAGTTTTTTTGCACCAACACTGGTAAAGCTTTTACAAGACAGTGGGACTAATATTATGTGAGCTTCAGTTATATACTGCAGATTTATGATGCTTAAAGCAACGTTCTGTAAATCTTATTTGAAGACAAGCAATGTCGTCCCCATAGAAACAGAGAAGATGCAGAACATTTTCAGGTAAATGTGAAACAAATAACACTGACAATAAAGGCTGATGTGTTTGGCATAAAGCTAAATATAAATTTAACTCCATCTGTACATATGGAAGTGTCTCCACAATTTGAATTTACCTTGCTGATGAGTGAGTCTGCAGTGATGATCAACTACTGCGTCACTTTTCTCAGGCAAACACAGCAAACACTCTGTGAATAGATCTACTAGTATTACAAATTTCCTTTGTTATATATTTGTTTGTTGTTTTCCCCTTTTCAGATACCAGATACTTTCATTGGAACAACAAAATAATTGACAGTATCAACATATGATTTACATTTGTATGATTTAACTAGTCATCCTCTTTTCTGCGTTACATTTTTTTTTTCTCTCTGCTTCTCTCATCTCTCAGCCCTCCTGGCTGCTACCTGTCCCTTTCCAGAAAACAAAACAAGCTTCCTGACTCAGGCCCTCCCTCTCTTCTGAGAGTCCAACAGATAGGTCCTGACAGAGCAGACAGGCTGCAGGAGCCTCTGTTTTAACAGCCATTATCGAGACGGGCGCTGACGGGCTGGTTTGCCTGCAAATTCTCCTTTCTTCCTCAAAATCTGCCGCTGCATTTCCACAAACGGTGATTATGAGGGCGCACTGCGAAGGGGTGGCAATTTACCAAAGACTGTGATGAAAAGAGTGGAATCGATCATGCTGTCTGTGGTTCGTGTTTTCATTTCAGGCTCAAATTGGCCGCAGCGTATGGAGGAGACATTTTATTTTCAACTTGTTTGTTTGTTTGTTTCAACTAAGGTAAAGGGTGAGGAACCATAAGCTCACACTGAGACAAAATCAATCCGAGAGCTGTATAATAAAAGAAATGATAATAGCATCCCAGACTAAATGGAGGATCTATAACACAACAATTCTTAAGAGATAAAGAAGACATTATACGTTTGTGTTATGACTCCGTACAGCTCTCATCTCTGGCTCACGTTCGTCATCTGACCGATAAGGATCTACGGCAGGATTTCCCAGGATGTTTGTCCTCTATAACACTTCAAAAAATAAGGCTCACTCACTGTGGTGTGAGATGCCTTCTATGATCTCCAGTCCTACTTATCGCTTTTGTTTTAATTGAATACGGCTTTCTTGCCTCTCCACTTGCTTTATTTCATAGTGATAAAGCCGCAGAATGCAGCCGCGGCGGCTGTCATCGAGAAAAACAATTAGCGGTTCGTGATAAAGGCCAAATCCGCAGCAAATATTGCACTTTAAACATGAGGGTTTATGCTCCTATCTATTTTCTTTGTTTTAATTTGGAGCACAGCCAGATAGCGGGCATAACAGATGACTGTAATTATGAGAAGACAGTGGAGAAGGAGTGTTGGTTAATGTTTCGCATATTGCCGAGCCATACTTTGCAGTAAAGGGGATTTGTTTTAAGTGGAGCACCTAATGAGAAGTAGCAGCAATGCAGAATTACAGTACTATTTTGCTGTATGTTTGTCTTGTTAAAGTACTAATGATGACTGTGTTTATTGTGCCATCTGCTCTGGATTTAAAATGTCAAATGGATTTACAGAAAACTAGGATTAGTTCAAAGGGACCAGGTAAGGTCTTTCACTCCACTGGGTTTCATGCTCCCTGTGGTTAAAAAGGCCAGGTCCTGTCAAATCTGAAGAACAAGACTAACATATTCTTTCGTGTGTTTTGTTTTTCAGCCTAAAGCAACACCAGCAGTAAGTCAGACCACACAGGAACGAAGAAGCAACGAAGACAGATTGGGATAAACAACTTCAGAAACAAAAAGGACTTCGTGCCAGAAAGTAGTGCAGATTAACTGCAGTGTGTATGCTTGTGTGTGCGTGTGTGTGCGTGTGTGTGCGGATGTGTGTGTGCGTGCGTGTATAGGTGTGTGCCGTGGGCATTTATGCACATATCTAAAGTAAGTGTATGTAGGGAATAACGGTGTGTTCATTTCAGTATTCAAGGTATATTCAGCACATTGTGTTTGATTGTTGAACGGTCTGAACGATCTGCAGAAGACTTGCGACTGAGGATTACCACGTAGCTCCTCTGTGAACCACAATCATAAATTAAACTGATGTCACTACATTACCCAGACTGGTAATAATCATTAAGTTGATCGCCACAGAACAGGAGTACTAATAACTCTGTGACTAGTGGTGACCCGGGTGTTCTGACAGTGATCTGAGTCTGGATACGATCCTTTATGTGTTTGTGATTGTAATACAGTGCCTTGCAAAAGTATTGATACGCTTTGAGCCTTTTCGGATGTTCTTACATTGAAACCACAATCACAAATGCATTTATGTCGAGTTTAATACAATATTATAGAATGTCAAAACTCTGACATCTATTTCTTCAGCTCCATTGACTCTATACCTTCCTCTACAGTGACTACTTCAAGTCCTGTGGGCCATGTCACTGTCCGCTACGCACATCCATACTCGATTTTCTTTTCAAACTAGCTCAAGCTTAGTCATATTTGATGGGATGCAATTGAACGTCATATTAGAAAATGTGTTCTTATGTGCATCTGTTGAAAATAACCTTGAACCGTCGAACATACTTTTCATTAATTTTTGTATTATAAATGTTTTTTTTTTTTTTTGTTGGTCTCATGTACATTTCTAAAATGTCATGTTGAAAGCACACAAAAAAAAACTTCAGAATTAATAGAACTAAAAGCTTGGGAACATCAGTATGTGTGTAATTAATCTACTTTCTTAGTGAAAGTTACTCCTACTAAAGTTTGCTACTGAAAACAAAATCAACTTAAAAATGTTCTGATTTATTGGATATGACTGTGTTTATAAGTCTTGACACAGGTACAGTATGTATGCTTCTCAGTTTTATTTGCAAACAGTTTTGAAAGTCATCCATTGCTTTTCTTCTACTTTACAATTATGCAGTGCTTTGTACAGATTAATCATATAAAACCTCGATAAAATGCGTCGAACGTTTCAGTTCTGACACGACAAAATGCGAAAAGCTCGAATGTGCACGTCCGCTTTTGCAAGGCACCGTAATGCAGCGATGAGTTTTGATGACGGCCAGGCTGTATGCACGGTTCACTTTCAGACCACTTGAAACCTACTCAGGCCCAGACTTTAAAGTCTAAGAGCAAGAAAATCCCCTGTGACCTCAGCCACGACTGACTGCATGACTTGCCATAGGTTCAAACAAAAAAAATAAACAGTTTTTGTTTTGAACATAGCAATGCCTGTCAGTGTTGTGGATTGGTCTGTTTTCAATATATGTCTCCCTCCTAATCATGATCTGGACAAAAAGGGTAAACGAGCAAAGAGACTCTTGAGTTTTACTGCTGACGAGAGTCTGTGAATCATCTACTGTTGAAAACATTCCCACTGCACTAAGTATTGATGTCAAATGCAGGTTGGAGGTGACAGAAGCTGTCTCTGTAAAGGGCAACATGTAGATAATATTTCTCTATATATTTTTTTGGTTGCTAAAGCCAGAGGAAAACAAGCTTCCCTCCCTATTCATGTAGCACCTAATACAACTGGGATTGTTTTCGATGCATGCAACCATTGCATTGATTTGACTTTTTTCAAGCCTACCTATTGCGTGTTTTGACTGTAGTGCTGCTTTTTAGGAATAGCTTTGTAATGCATTACAGCACATGCTTGCAATGGAACTTAAAGGTCACATTCAAAAGTGATTTATTCATCCAACAAAGGAAAACAGTTTGATACTTAGATATTAGACCTGCACAAGGCATAATGGCCTTGTGTTGTTTCTTCTGCCTGAGAGTTTTAATAGGGGATTCGAAGTTTCTTTCAGTGAACAAAGATGCGATGTAACAGCAAGGAGAAAAGTATTCACGCTTATTTTTCTGTCAGCTTATGGACGACCTAAAAAGAAATATCCTGAGCTGTAACAGTTCCAGGGAAACGTTTACATACACTCATCGTTGCCATCTTTTCCCCTTTAAAATCTATATTTAAGCTGGATTGGTCAAACTAAATTAACTTTAGAATTCCTTAGATCCAGATAGTGACAGATTCAAAAATATACATTTGATCTCATTAATCTTTGGTCATATTTTGGTTAGAATATTGCACTTCAAGAAGATCCTCTTTCTAGCCATCAACAAACTTCTTGCGTAATTCTCGCTTGATGTTGGGAGTCTGTTTTTTAACTGAATTTTTGGATCAGCTTGAAAAATAGTCTAAAATTTTCAACAGGTCGAAGCTTTCATGTTTGTCTGTTTTATCCACCTCAAGGCCAGTTTTGATGCATATCGTTTTTATGTTGGAAAGCCTAGTTGTGTCCATGTTTCAATAATCTAGCTATTTTACTGAGATGACAGTGAAAAATTGCAGGGCAGTCTTCTTCTTATTTTTATTTTTTCATGTTTGTCACACCTTTAGACCAATTTAAACATAGTCAAAGACAACACAAGTAGGCTTTCACACAAAATGCAGATTTTAATGGAGAAAAAAAAATGCAAACCTACTCGGTCCTGTGTGAAAAAGGTTGTTTTTGTTTCTCCATTAATTCTATTTCCGCCACAGCAGAGACCGTGTGAAGTTTGAGACCTTCACATCGACTCCTCCAAATGTTCGCACCACTGTAGCTACAACAGCTTAGTGTTTGTCTCCTCAGACCACAAAACTTCTGAAGACATTATAGAAACAGCGGCGTCTTTCTTGGTCGACATCTATTCACTGAATAGTGATGTAAAACTGGTGCTCCAGCAATTTTCAGTTCCAGTTCAGTGAATATCCAAACAAAATGATGTCAGAAACGTGTCATTAGCTACATAAAGCCTGTTGTCAAGATGCAACTTGTTAAGGAATATTTGACTGTGGGCATATTATTAAGCCCATGTCTATAATTTTGACAATTTGCAGATTAGAAGAATAAAATCAAAAGTTGCTCACATAATTCGTGTTTATAAAATATAACGGGCTGTTCATAATCAGCAGTGGTTCTTGCATGAATGCTGCATTTGGCACCCACATGCCCACAATAATTTTAGTTTATGAGAAAAACAAAGATTAATTAGTTAATCTAGTCTAGTACTTTACATGTGACACAACTATATCTGTAAGCACATTCGAGATGATTAAATATGTGTCAGATTCTTTAAAAAAAAAGCAGTGAAATAGCTCTGTAACTTAGTACTAACTGAGAGTATTTTATCACTTAACATAAAACATCAGGGGATGCTCCTCACATTACTCACATAGAATTGGGGAAAAGGGGAAAGTTGTTTGAGGTGCAGCTGACGATATTTTCTTTTCCTTTTTTAAATTTTAACATTGCCTGCCCCCAGGCCGCACCGTCTAGGTGGGGACATGCGTTTAACGACACTGATGCTAAGATAAGTGTATGTAAACTAAAAACTGGATCTGCATATTGGTTTTAATGGTGTAGGGAAAAAAAGTTTTTTTTTTTTTAATGTTTTTCTTCTTTTTCTTTCTTTTTCCCTTTTACAATGAGCAGCGTTAAACACTCTGAACTTTTTTTGGAAGGTTTTCCGTCTGAGACGTCAGAGAGTTAAAAAAAAATTTATGCAATTGTGCCGTAAGATTAACATCCGTAGAGCGTGGGCTTGAAATGAGATAGTTTATCTATGGAAACAGAGCAGTGTGTGTTCTTTAACAATAGCAGCAGGTGAAACTTGTGTTTTGAAAAGAAGAGTTTTGTATTTATAGTGTTTATCTGCACTGAGCCAAGAGTGGTAATGTTTCTTATTCTACTAATGAGAATTATAATATGCAGGCACTGGAATAAAATCATTTGATGAGCCGTGTTTTTATATGTTTTTTTTTTCTTTATTGTGGAAATAATAACCTGAAAAATGTGATGAAGGACCAAAATGTGCCAAGTAGCTGTGTTTGCTAATAGGGTTTATGATGGGAGACATTTTTATCATGAAATATGCAGTCATCACGATAAATATACCCATATATAATCAGAAAACTGCCAAAAAAAAAAGGATTCAAGATACAGCTGGGTTATTATTTAACTCTAGCAAAAATGCAAAATCAACAGGATTTTTTTTTTTTTGTTAGTTTTTTTTTATGTGCATCAGACTGTCTTGATGTATATTTACTCTGACTGCTCTCTCCTGCACTGGTTTACTCACAATAGATATGTGTCAATATCTCAGCCCGTGCAAAAGGCCAACTGTGCCATGAGTCACATATTTTAGTAGATGTTACATAATATGTGATAGAGCTTCATCTATGAGTAGAAACTGTGTGATAAAATGCTTTTCAGTGGGTGTCAGAATGTGAAGCTGTTAGCTGCACTGACAGTGAGAGACTCTTTGTTAGATGTGTACTGTAAGCACATTTGTAAACACACCTGATGATGAACACAATGAAACTGACATCTACAGTATATCTGTCATCTTTTACGAAACCCAAACCTGTTTTTCTTCTTTCTTTCTTTTTTTTCTTTGCTCCACTATAAGACATTTAACAAATATTCCTAACACATGAATGAACAGACTAACACTTTTGTAGAAATTACATAATTTTGTTCTTTTATGACTTTTCTTTTATTTTTCATGGAATATTGATCTTAATACTTAATTAACATTATGCAGCCACCGACTGGTATGTTGTGAACAATATCAGATCTTTTTTTTTTTTTTTTCCAGCTTTGACCCCACTGTACCACCCTGGCTCACTTTAAGACCTGAAATATTATAATAAATGTATTAGACAAATGGCCAATTTATTAGGTACACTTTTGTAACATTGGGTTGGACACGTCTGCTTTAGCAATAGCTTTTATTTATTTATTTATTTATTTATTTATTTATTGTGATTAGATTCAACAACGTGTCAACATTATGCAGTTTATTTACATTTTTCATCTGGACATCCATAGTGCACATTCTCTGTTCCACTTCATTTGAAAGGTGTTCTGCTTAGACTGAGATCTGTGGCTGCTGGAGTGCGGTGAACTCATCGTCATGTTCATGAAATCACTTTGAGATGATTTGGTCTTTCATTACATCATGCACTATCCTTCTGGAAGTAGCCACCATGAAGTGGGTGCACTGTCGCCGTTAAGTAACACTGCAGCTTGCACACCCGGCATCCTGCAGTGTTTGAACGATGCTCAAGTGGTGCTACGGGTACAACATGAGCCAAGAGAACGTCCCTCACACCATAACGCCACCTCCACAAGTCTGAACCATTCATACGTGACAGGATTCATACTCTCCTTCCATCTGAATTTTATTCCAATCTAATTTTCTAATGTGTTTCATTGGAGTTCATGGGAATGACGGCCTTGATCTCCAGTGAACAGGAGTGGCACCTGATATGGTCTTTATTAATTGTAACCCTTATGCTTCAAGGTTAAGGGTTGAAGCTTAAGTTTGTGTCCTCTTAACTCAGCACCTGCATCTACACGTAAGAGTCTAGCTGATCAGTTGATTTCTCTGTTTATCCATAATTTAAACCTTACTTTTCTCATTCATGCAGAGAAATAGAGCTGAAATATTTATATTTGTTATCAGTTCATGGAGCCAGACGATGAACTTAAAACAGATGACTTTATTCAAGCTTAAGAATAACTTTATTCATCTCAGTTCTTAAGAGAACTAAAGCAAACAGACACCGCTGTGTGTATGCTGAAGATTTTTATTTTTAAAAATAAACAGTTATAATTTGATCCAAAGTTTGTTGCTCATTAGTGGTTGTTTGAAAAAGCTTTAGGGAGCGACTGCCAGGCGCTCATACAGTCACAGTGACTTCAGCACTTACGTTTGGACATGTTTACTTTTACGACATCGCCGCTTCTGCCGTAGCAGGTATTTGAATAATTGAGCATAATTTCCTCCAAGACGATAGAGCTGTGTGAAGTTTTTGCAGGGGAACAAAGTTTTTGACGTATTTCTTGTGATTTTACTAATTGGGAGCCAAACTTATTATTCACAAAGACCAGAGCGGTAATTGCATTAAAGAAACAAGTGGAAGCTAGAGAGGAAGGAGAGCAGCAGGAGTACAAGAGGAATCAGTGCAAACAGGAGGTGTTGTGCACCCTTAATGGCTTATTATAGCGAACAGGAGATGAGCTGAATAAAACATTAAAGATGGTATTATTCCATTTCCACTGCACCACCCAACCTCCATGTACTAGAAAACAGTAGGTGTGAGAATACAGGGCCATCACCTCACTTAGCTGATAGTAGGGCATGTCATCTGAGTTCATCCATATTCATGACCAGATACTTGAAAATCCCTGCATTCTGCTGGGATGTGCTCTTGAAAAGGCAATCCTTCTTAGTCGCGCACGTTGGACAGTTTTCCGAACTTTGCATGTAGAAACGTTTGTAGTTTCGTCACAGTTTTTGCAATGAATTAGCTATTTCAAACGCTAACGTGTGATCAGTTTAAACACGTATGTGACTAACACCGAGTCATGATGGTGATGGTCTCTGGAGAGTAGATTTCAAGTTGCTGTTTCCTTTGTGTTTTGCTGCACTGCTGTGTCAATAAGAGCGTTGTTTTGTGAACATGTCACCTGTGGGATATGTCTCCCTTTTTAAAAGATGAATTTGGCCCAGGAGTCTTCAAAAAAAAAGCATGGTTTTCTGAGAAAAACACACTTTTGAATTAACAAAGAAGAATGGTCTTTACAGAGTCCTTGTACGTAATTACAGTTTCTGAACCTTCGCTTTATTTAGCTGTAGTTTCATTTTGACGATCGATAAGAACTGGCTGAAAAATTCAAATCCAGTGGCGGATTCTGCAAAAGAGAAAATGACTGTTACTATCTAACCGTGCACTGTAAACAAAAAAAAGCCAGGGCGCACAGAGAGCAGGACAAGAATTTTCTGTTTGTTTTGTTACAAATGCATTTCTGTACAACAGATGCGATTCAATACACAATCCTGCAAGCCAACGACAGATTTAAACTTCCCTTCCTCCCCAATGTGTCACAGACTGTATCTGCATGCTCCAGTCTAACTATCAACGGAGATGATGTAACCCCCCACACACCACAGAAGCACAGATTTTCTTTTCCCTGCTCTGCTTCATGCAGCAAGCTGTTCATTGTTAGGGCTTGTCAGAGCTTCACTGTCAAAAATTATTGTCGTCACAATGTTGACCCCATGCCCTTTGCTGCGATCTGAGATAAAGCATCACAGCCTGGTGGGCGATGTAAGTGACCATATTCATGCATCCCAGCTGAATGTATCTGCTTTGATACTGAAGTCACTGGCATCTGACAGTCCAGAAAAGATTTCAAACCCATTTGTAAGACTTTGGGCAAAACAAGGGTCATAATTCATAATTGAAGAGAAAATGCAGCCCTGGTTAACCAAAAATACTCCAAGAGCACATTGACGGTTCCTCCAGGAAGTCACAAGAAGCCCAGAGCAACATCTAAAGCTCTTCAGGCTTCACCGCCTGAATTAAGGTCAGTGTTCAATATTTGGAAAGAAAAAAAAAGAGAGATGGTGCAAAATTGCCTTTGTTAGAAAGTTCTGGTCTGACTCACATTTACCTCCCAAAAATCTTGATAAACGTCAAGAGACAAAAGTGGAATGGTGTATCATGTCATCTAAATCTATCTTAACAGTCCAGATTTTCAGAAACCTGCTGACAGTTAAAGGTGGTGGTGTTAATTTGAGCGATAGGGGCTACTTCATGATCAGGGATTTTGCTTTCTCCCCAAAAAGTCTGCTGGAGAATCTCAATCCATAAGTGCAGGACCTTAAGCCCAACCACACATAGGCAGGATAACGATCCAAAACACATTCGAAAGCCCAGCTAAGACTGACTCTAAAATAACAACAAAAAAACAAAGCAACGTTTTGGAATGGCTGAGCTGAAGTCTGGCCTTGCATCTAATTCAGATATTGCATACTGACCTTGAACACACTGTTCATGTTCAACAGCCCTCCACTGTGGCTGAATAAAACATTTCTGAATGGGAGCGTGGCCCAAAATTCCTCAGTGGGAATGATAGAGACTCAGTTATTACATTTAGGGGACAATTACCTTTTCATATAGAGCAATGTTTGTTTGAAATTACTTTCTCCCTCCATAAAGCATTAAAAGACAGATTTTTGTATTTACTTTAATTATCTTTTTTCAATATCAAAACTTGTTTGATGATCTAAAACATCTAAGTGGAATGAACAAAAAAAGCAACAAACACAAGAAATCTACAGTGGGACAAACTTTATTATTATTATTATTAATGGTCAAATTGATACACACATTCACCAATGATAAAATAGATTTCTTTAAACAATAGAAAATTCCAGTGAACAAGGTAATCAGTTCTGACACATGTTTTTTCAGATGTTTTCTCATTTTACCAAGTTGTAAAAGAAGCCTTCAGATAAAAGAAATTGGGTTGGATATTCAGGAACAACTTAAGTAACCCAGAACATGCTAGCCAAGAATAATTTCCAAGTCTCAAAACTGATACAATCAAATTTAATTGAAATCTGAAATGAGCCAGTTACTTCTGGAGGAAAGTTTTATGGTCAGATGAGAAAAACCGAAGAGTTTGGACTCACAAGAACAAGGGAGCAATAAAGCTTCAAAACCAACAACTTTTGACCAACTCTAGCATGATGGTTGTAGGGTCATGTTGTGGATGTTTATTCAATCAGTCGTATAGGTGCATGGCACAAAATGGGTGAAATATTGAGAGGTGAGAGTAGTAAACTTCACCTTAAATAAGTTGCTCGATGTTTGAAATTAGAACATGTAGTATTTCAACGGGACAGTAATCAAAACTGGTTTGGGAATTGGTAAGGAATTTTATT